CTAATAGATATTTCAAAGATTAGAGAGGTTAGAAGAATATGTCCTCATGTTTTAATTATCACTTGGTGGCTTAAATAAAATGAAAATCGGTCGGGTAGAAATTTTGATAGTGGAAAAAAGCCCAAAGTTTTTTCCTTGTTGTAAAATTACTTAAAATCTCTCAACCCCTTTGTTAGAGAGCGGTATTCAGCAAATTCATTCGCTGATATGAAGAGAGCGCTGTTCGCAATTTTTTAAAAAAATCCCATGACTGAGTCATTGGTGGATTTTTCGTTCCTTCTCCCCATTTGCGCGGTTTCGGCCGCTCATTCTGTTTTTGAGTTTGCAGTGAACGGAGTTTTCTGCAGTGCGTTCACGTTTTCCAGGGGGATAGATTGTCTTAGTAGTAGGCAGTATGGTTAAAAGCATAATTTTTCGTTGATTTCCACCCTTTTCCTTAAATATCTAGCCAAGATTTCGTGCAATCAAAAAATGACGCCATTACGTCGGAGTCCTTAATCCAAAAATTTTTTTGAGAATTTTGGATGATTTTTCGAATGTTTTTAATGTACAAAAATTAGGGGGAGATGTTTTGAAGTTTTGGAAAAATTAGAAAATATTGCATTTGGGGATTAATAAAAATTAAAAAATGATGTGAAAAATTGGTAGACATTTACCAGATAGTCCACCACCACAACAAGGTGCCTCTGATCCTATTAGCAGACTAACTCATACTGGTTTATGTGTATACCTTATTTTCTAACCTAATTTATTTCCCTCCCAAGTCAATATTTCCCAATCAATATTTAAAAAACCAACCGTAATGGCCCCTTAATCGAACTAAGGCCCCGTTTGCATGGAGAAAATTTGTCCTCGGAAAGAGTGTCACCCTTCTAGCCGAGTCAACTTTAGCGAGAGTTTATAAGAGAAAAAAGTTCACCCCTCGGGCATACTCTGATTATCTAAACGGCGCGCGCATGCCCTGATGGCCCTGACCGACTTGACTCGGTTGGGGGAGCCAAAGTGTTTTTATGAAGAAAAGTTGGCCCAGCTAGGATGATGACCCTACAATCTCAAAAGTGTGACCCTGCTAGGCTGTTTCCCCTTGCCAAGCTAACTTTCTGTTTCTCACGTAAACGATTCGCCTCGTTTTGTAACTGGGAATGTATAAAAAGTTGGCTCGCCCAGGATAGCTCCGCTACTCCGTATAAAAGCGGCCTGAGGAAAAACATGTTTCTGAAGCAAACCCTGCGTCTTGAAAGAAAATCACTCGTAAGCGTGATGCTAAAAATTTCCTTGTAAGCCGAGATTAGCTTCCTCAAAAAATGTTTTGATTTCAATTCGACTTAACTCGTACTCAACTGCTTCGCATCAGTATTTTCAGCTTTAACTCCCCATTGAGGTTCCGCTTAAAAATGCTGGTCAAGGAAGTCCTATTCAAAAAATGGAACAGTTTCCATCAACATTTTATCTGTCTAGTAAGTAAGTAAGTAATAACTTTATTTAACCACGAAATCCTTATCACTAAAAAGTGGTCTTCAAAAGAGCCGTGCACATTAAACTAAGACTTAAAAATAACAAACATTATTGAAAAAGTCCTATAATAAATGCCTACTAAGAAAATCTTAATGTACAATGGCGAAATAAAAACAATTTAAAGTATTGGCCTGCTTAGCCTCAGCTGACAGGCTGTTCCATGTTACTGCGCCCCTATAACGAAAACTTTTCTTTAGGGCTTCAGTGTTCTGTCGCGGAATAAACAGGTTATGTTGCGCACCTCGAAGAATATGCCTGTGAATGGTATTAATGCTGGCGAATTTATCAAACAGGTATTCAGGTACAAGGTTATTTACAGTTTTAAACATTAAAGATTTCAGTTGCTTACCACGTCTGTCAGCGAGACTATCCCATTTAAGGGCATGAAGAATCGGGGTAGAGCTGGCATCCCAGCTAGACCCTGTAATTATGCGTGCATCCCTGTTTTGAGCTTCCCCTCACCCTTCCCTCAATTAAACTGAAGCTCTCCCAGAAGCCACCTCACTCCCATGACGAAAAATTCTTGCAAGGGCCACTTAGACAAAAGGTAGTGAGGGGAAGCCGGATCTTGGTGTAGATCAGTATCAGCGATGTAGGTAACACTTAAAGTTGAAGGCAAGTGTTAAGGCTGATTGGACAGCTATGAATAGGAAATTATTTCCCTATCTCCCCGTCCATAGTGGTCCGACCGATCTGCCTTGCCTGAAGTCAGTTTAACGTCTTCGTCCCACAACTCAACTAACATTAAGTTATTTTTTTGATTATTAACTTATTTATTTATTTATTCATTTATTTATTTATAGTAACTGACTTAAAATAATTGGTTTTATTATTTTTCAATTTTTACAGCCCGAGATTGTGCCGAGCTGTTGAACGCCGGTTTCAAAGAGAATGGCGTGTACGCAGTAAACCCAACAAACAAGACCAGTTTTGAGGTGTTCTGTGACATGAAGACTGATGGTGGAGGGTGGACAGTCTTTCAAAAGCGCTTTAATGGCTTTATTGGATTCTACAGGGGGTGGGATGAGTACAAAAACGGCTTTGGTGACGTCAGAGGAGAGTTTTGGCTTGGAAACGAGAAGATTCATCAACTGACGGAGATTCCGAGTCAGCTGCGAGTGGAAATGAAGGTAAAAAATTATGGCAAGTTGTACGCCAAGTACAGTAATTTTACAGTTACTAACGAGGCGTCTAACTACACGCTGTTTGTTGGGTTTTACTCTGGTACAACTCCGGATCAACTGGCCTATCATAATGGCATGGCTTTCAGTACAAAGGACCGAGATAATGACGAAGATGGTAGTAACTGTGCTGTAGCCTACAAGGGAGCATGGTGGTACAAAGGGTGTTATCACTCAAGCCTGAATTCCAATTATGGTGACGATGACTATAAATGGAATGACCCACTCCTGGCTAGTGAAATGAAACTGAAACCCGCAAGCTCTAAATGAACACACGGGCATTTCCGTTAAAGAGGCTGTTTCAAGGCTGTCTAGTTCATTGGGTTAATATTTCAAATTACGCGTACTATTCGCCTCCCCATCGGGGGATAGCTGTATATTATTTCGCTAAAGAACTTAACATTAGCGAGGAATGACGAACCAAACGAAGTACGACGTTCAGCTTAGGCCTAAGAATTTCGTTTGATTCGTCCCTGATTAATGGTTAAAGTAGATCTATATGGTTATCCGGCATTAACTTCAATTTTGCAAGGGCTAAATGAACACACGGACGTCACGGAGCATCTTAGATCCAGTTAAAAAACCCTTTAAACCAAGGTGTTTTCAACTGCAGAATGTTTAGTGATAAACATTTCATTTTCGAGGCAAATTTTAAAGCCAATTCACAAAATCTCAAGGGAACAGAAGATGTTCAGCACTACTTTATCTCTCTTCTTAATAAAGTGGGTTTTAAAAAACAAGAATTTTTGCGGACTACAACTTTTAATTAGTTCATTATTTTTTAACAGCCGAATGGTAAACAATGAAGCACTTCTAAGCGAAACTTTTAGGTCTTCGTTTTAGGTTAACTTAGTCATAACAGGGGCACCCAACGAGAATATAGTTCAAAACCACTTAAACATAGCATTGTTGAACGTATTTTAGTTTTTAAACGGTAGATATAGCCATATTTTTATCCCCACAAAATTTTTTATCTGTTCGGATTTCCTAGCTGAAAGTCTAGTGATCCGAGGAATTATAGGGATCAAAACTTATGTTTTCGAAAATTTCACCCAGAAAAAAGGCTCCCGAAAATTCTAGGTGACCTTTTTAGGGTAAAAATCCGTTAAAAATGGGCAATTATACCATTTGGGGGTGGTTCGAAAATCCTAGGAGAAGCGGGCAAGCAAGAAATTTAGCAGCAAATGTTCCGAAAATTCTAGATCTAAAATCGTCTTCCGAACAGATATTTTCCAAAAATTGTCGTTGGGTGCCCCTGTTATAATTGAGCAAATGTGGCTCTCTCCCATGATAATGATAACGATAAATTTTTCATTCATAATTCTCCGTTTCGGTTTAAATCCCCCGGCTAATTCTCAGTAATCAACTAGCATTTGCCGATTTCTTAAAAAATGAGTCGCTTTTACGGATAATTGGCAGAAACAGCCCTACATAGCAGCAGAAGGCCCCCTAGCTTAGCTTAGTGTTTTGGCAGAGCTAAAAAGACGGAGGCAGATTTTACGCGCTATGCAAAGAAGACATATCCATACTCAGCTACTTCTCAAAATCTTAGCAAGGTTATCAAAAATATCACTCGACGGATGACAACTGCTAATTGCAGAACCACTATATTTGCAAGACTGATCATGACATCCCAAGACTGCAAAGGAACAGGCAGGTGTTTTGACGACGGGATTGCGAACTTTTCATAAATCGAGGGGTTAAAAGTAATTTGAATGAATAAGTAAACGATTACTTTCGTATGATAGTTAGCAATTATGAATTCGGCTTTTGCGGGATGTGAACTATGTAGATCGAGGAGGATGTTATCCATCGAGCTGAAGGCCGAGGTCGATAACATCCTCCAAGATCTGCATAATTCCTCACATCATACGAAAGCCGAATTCAACAATTGTTTTATCATTAGTTCAAAATATTTTTAAGTTCTTAACAAGCTTGATAAATGACACTATCTTTATACTAGTTGACCCAAATTGTAATATACAAAGCAAACACCTATGTGTTCACATGGATATTTCTATCGAGGAAATAAGAAGCAAACCCGTACGACTTTGAAGAACATTATTTTTGTATCTGTCTTTCAATTCTCTCAGTGGGGATGATCAAGCTTATTCTGTCTCTCAGGTTGAATCTTGTGTTAGAGATATCGACCGTTGGATGTCTTGTAACAAACTTAAGTTGAATAGGGACAAGACGGAACTGCTCGTTATCAGTTCAAAATATCGGCCACGCCCATCTTTAGATAGTATCCTGGTTGGTGATCATCGTGTAGAGCGGTCTGACAAAGCTAGGAACATAGGAGTTGTTTTTGATGAGACCTTGTCACTGGATAAGCATGTGAGTTCCGTTTGTAAATCTGCTTTATTTCATCTTCGGAATATCGCGAAGATTAGAATGTATCTGACTTCCGAGAGCACAAAGACCCTGGTCCATGCTTATGTTACTTGTCGACTGGACAATTGTAACTCGTTGCTCCTCGGGTCACCGGAGTATATTATTCAGAAGCTCCAGCGCGTTCAAAACTGCGCTGCACGCCTTGTAGCTGCGCAACCTAGGGCTGCGCACATTCGCCCCGTCCTTAAGGAGCTACACTGGTTACCTGTGGAGCAGCGAATTACCTTTAAAGTATTACTGTTAACTTTTAAAGCTCTTAATAACCTGGCGCCTCCGTATTTAAGTCAACTTATAGTCCCATATAACCCTACAAGAAATCTTAGGTCAGCTAGCAAACATTTATTAGAAGTACCGAGTGTGCGCCTGAAGAGCTATGGGGACAGGGCCTTTTCGGTCGCTGCCCCAAAACACTGGAACGATATTCCCTTAGACATTAAATTAAGTGGATCAGTTGATGTTTTTAAATCTAGATTGAAAACTTATCTTTTTAGACTCGCTTTCAGTTGACTTTTTGTTTTGGTGCTATTGTTAGTTATTTTCTTTTTTTTTGATTGTAAAGCGATATAGAGCTTTTGTATATACCGCTATACAAATAAAGTTATTATTAAATAAATAAAGTTATTATTATTACTATTACGAATGTCACATTCATTAAAAATACCGTATACGTCTCGTATATCGTACCGAGTAGTGAACCTCGCTTTTTCTCGGGGGAGTGGGGGGAGAGGGGGGGGGGCGCTTAATCCAAATTTTGAGCCTTACGAGGGGCGCTAATTCGTGCATTTACGGTGTATCACAAACCTTAAATGTCTGAAACTTTCATTGACATTGATTGACTGTAAAACCTTGAAATTTCAAGTCGAACTTAGCCTACGTACCTGCCAAAATTCCTCCTTTTAACATTCACTGTTTTGACGTTATGCTAATTTTTCCAAATTAATGACTTCCATACATACCTCCATGGCTAGTACATTTTAGTATGAATTTTATTGCATATGTTGAATGTAAAACATTTTCAATATTCACATTGAAATGTAATATATAGATTTAGCCAGGGCTAAAACCGAAGCTCCCGTTAATAAATTCATAATTTAAATCAAACAATAAACTTGTAATCCGCAGATCAGGGCACATTCATTTGACGTTTGAGGCAAAGGCTAAGTGATTTTAGGGGCCGACCATTTAACTCTTGAGGGGGGGGTGGGTGATTTTGAAAAAAAATTTCCTGCAAGCGCTTGTCGGAAGAAAAAAATTGCATGCAGCACAAATGTAATAGAAAAAAAATTCTTGCGCTGCTGTAAGAAAGAAAAAAAAATGTTGCAAAGCTATTTCATCATTCCGGGGGTCTTTAAAAAATCGCAGCAAAACTGCAACCATTTTTTTCCCTTGCTCACTTTGAACTCTGGATTTGATGATGCTGCAAAATTATTGCGTCATATGTGCAATGCATTATTAGCTTATCACAAGCAGTATTATAAATGGAGGTAATTTTTTTTATTAAAGAATCAAGTTTTTATAGACAAAGGAAGTTTTTTTTTTCATTTTTAACAGAAACATTTTTATGTAATTATTTTCTATTTAAATAAATATAATATATTTTTTTAAGTTTTAGTAATGCACTTATCGATGTCTAGCCCCAATTGGGGGAGTGCAGGTATACCCAGGGGCTATTGACAATTGATTTCAAATATTTTTGGTCAATAAATTTCAAATTCCACACCCTCTGCCATTTCAAACCTTAATTCTTATTCAAAACATCCCCTCCCTTGGACAAAGTTCACAGGTCAAATGCCCCACCTATTTCCGCACTCCCTCTGTTTGGGCAAGACATTGATAGGTGCATAAAAAGTAGCTGTATATTTCATGAATAAAAATTGCGCTGCAAGATAAAAATTAACAGCAGCAATGAACATGGCTGAATGCTGCAACTGTATAGAAGTGGACTGAAAAAAGACTGAGCAAAAATTATTAGAGCTATTTGTCAATTAGACCAAGATCAACTAACTTCAATTTTGCTTTCACATTGGTTTTGGATATTTCAGTCTACTTTTAAATTGCAACTAATGATTCTAGCAGCAATTACCATGCTATGAGTATTTCTAAACTGCTTTTTGCTATTTTTGGCTATTTTATTTTAATTAAGAAACTGAACACTTTCACATCTGCCTGTGGTGCATCACTTTATTTTGACGTAATAAAATGAGTGTAAAGAATGACTTTCTGAAAAGATAGCTATACAATAATGATTTTGTATAGCTTACAACATTTTAAGGCTTTGCAGCTCCATATTAGAACTATTACTGCAATGACCACAATGTAAGTGTAAATACATTTTGTATATGTAAACACATGACCCTTTTTTGAGGAAAAAAAAATCCTGCAGAGAAATGAGGAGGGAAAAAAAATATCCTGCAGAGCATTTAGAAGGGAAAAAAATATCCTGCCCACCAGATTGCTAGAAAAAAAAAAATTCTTGCCGACCAGAAATCACCCACCCCCCCCGTCAAGAGTTAAATGGTCGGCCCCTTAGAGAAAAATAATTTGACAGTCCAAGAGTGAAACAGCTTTTACATCGAGTTATTAAATAATCTTATTTGTACACCCAAAAATAGCAATCATGTTCGATCACAGTAGATTAGGCCTGGAAAACAAATAGACCTACCTATTCGTGTATTGTATTTGCATTAGCTGTTGAATCATAATGTGGCATTCACCACTCTCTCCAACATTGCTCCGTTTAAGAGACTATGGATAATTGGACAACCCCGAAATATAATTTTAAGAAACACACAGGCGCCACGATAGTCCTTGGTGGCAGCCAATTTACACGTTGCATTCCTCTGTCTAAAAGAGAGGCCAAAATAAAAAATCAGGCCGGATTTTTTGTGTTCGACAAGTTTAGTTTACTAGTAAATCTTGGCGACGAATCTGGTGGAGTGTAAACCAGCCTTTTAAACATACTTTTTCTCATCACGTCTCAGGTAAACAGTACTATGAGGCCCTTGTTTTTATCATACAGACCTCGGACAGAATTTGTTCTTTTTTGCCCTATTTAAACCTATAATTCTGCAGTTTTTCACAATTTTGCAAGAGAATTTGCACTCATTCAATATCCACGACGATCAAAGCACGCGCTTCCTTTGCACAACAAATTATAGCATTGAATTATAAAACGTTTTCATGAAGAGAATTCTATAATGCCAGGACTTTCAGTTAGAAAAATCTGGTCCTATGTGATATGCAGGGTAAAATGGGCTTTTAATGAAAACGATAAAAAATTCCCAAAATCACTTTTCGGCCAGCCGGACGGGGCTCACTTTTGACAGGCACTAAATTTTCAGTGCGATTAATAGAGTTACCATTTACGCTTCAACATGATAGATAAATTGTATGTTTAGGTTTTATTTCCCTTTATTTATTAAACTGCGGACGGTTTTGTTATGTGTAATCTTTAAAAGCGAGTGATATTTACGCGCGGCGTTTTGAGTATTCCTGCATGAGATGTTTATGTTCGACTGGATACAACCGGTGCAGCGATAAAAATTGCGAGAGGGACCACAGGTTGAAAAAAGGTGTTTCCGTTTCCGTTTTTGTAACGGTTACCTCACGGAAACTTGAATATCCGCAGACGGAATTGTAACTAACCGTTGCGGGAAACACGTGTATCCGTCATGTTTCAGTTTCTGCGGACACGCTTGAACGCATCCCTTATACTCGCGTTTCCGTCAGGTTTACTCTTGCGGAAACGCTAACTGCCGCCATGTTTCCGCAGCTCGTAAATTCAGAGGATACTCAATTATCCGTTGAGTTCCCGGAACAATGAATGCGGAAACTCAGTTTGATCGGTTTACTTTCTGCAGCCTTCATGTTTCCCCAGATTCCACTTTCGATGGATTACTCACTGGATTTCCTAAATGTGTTAACTTTACTTAACCATCCAGTTTCGAATCATATGTTCATTCTATCCGGTATATAAAAAAGTGGACGTTTGTGAGACAACCCTGGACCGTTTCTTGCATCCACAATGACCCATTTTCGCTGATACACACAAATCAAGAAGAGTCATATTTGGGTGCATTTTTGCTATTAAAGTTTTTATTAAAATAATTCTCTCTCCATTCTCATATAATATGTACATATGTGTATTAAATATTTTCACAATAAAAAAGGGACTCCTTACAATGTATTTCTATTTTCTACATCCAAAACTGTAACTTTCCATTTCAATAGGCCACTTCCGAGTTTCAAAAACCCTCACTTTCAAAATGAGGCTAGGTGCGCAACCTTTCTTGTGAAAATGAGTTTTATTTGCATGAGAATGAAAAGTGATTTAAATATCAAGAGCTGAGCACCTACCCTCGTTTTGAAACACAGGCCTGGGGGAACTCGGAAACGACCTTTTAAATAATCCTTTTAGAATTGACAAAATTCAAACTTTTTTCCTTGAAATGATTAAATTAACATAATAATTATACAGTCTAACCTCTTCTTATGGACACCTCTATAAGACAGATAGTTTGTTTGGTCCCAGAAATGCCAAAAATCATACATTTCCTACCTCTATAATACGGACACCTCTGTAAAGCGGACACTTGGTTCGGTCCCTTTGGTGTCCGTATTAAAGAGGTTTGACTGTGTAATAATTAAGTAACTAACATTATTATAAGTAACGCGCATTTCCATTCCAAAAATAACTCCAAGAAGTAGTTCACAGCAAAACTATTACATAATTTAATACGAACAATATTACAAATAAAAGTCTTACTTAGTTACATGTAAGACTGCATACAATCTCATTAGGAAATCTAAACTGCTGGCTTAATTCTTATACCATATCATACCATAGCAAGTACCAGTACTTGGTGGATCATCCCCAAAAATTATTGTTAAAGCCTATACAAACTGCTGAGAGGTCATCATTGGGGAGTATCAGACTGATGCTACAAAGACGATAGTGATGCAAACAAAACTAGCCATAGGCTTTATATACAAATGTGTAAGCCAACATCTCTACACATGTATCTCACTTTTTGTCCCCACTCTGCTGTAACTGCATGGCTGCAACTTGGACCTGGCTGTGGCATACAAAGTAGTCTACGAGAATTTGCCTACATTTGAGTTTGAATAATAATGACAAACTGTGCACTTTTAACAAGTGACTCACTTTCACAATGCATCTATCTTACATTCCCTGTTTTATAGTTTTAGGATAATCCATTGACTGTCCTGGAATTTCAGCAATTTTAATGAACACAGTCGAGTAAAGATTGTCTTTAAGAATAAAACTCTTATCACCTTTCCAATAAGATTGTGCAATTTAGTTAAAGCGGATCATCACAGGGTCATCCTGACTAAAGAAGGCACAATAATACATTAGGGACTTTAAGCAAATTGCTACAGTGACCTCTACTATGATGGTCGTGGATTAGAGTCCTGAAGAGAGTATGTCACTGTTGCCCGTCAAATTTCAACTTTATGCAAGTGGCACCCAAAAGTCACTACAGGGCTTCTCGCTCATTTGGTTTTGTTGTTAGTAAAACGCAGGGAAGACTGAATTACTGCCCAGTGAACTAGAAGTGTTAAATACTTTCTTGATTAAGAGTAAAACAATATGATAGGTTTTAAACCAGTGAAAAATAGGGGAAAAGTAGAATTTTATACTCATGTAGAATCGACTATGCCATCACATTTTGTGCTTCGGCTAAAGGTCATTTTCTGGACATCATGCACAAGGCGTCCTTTTTGGACTTTATACTCCCAGTTGCCATAGTAGTGATCACTGTAGCCATTTCACTAATTTGGTATTATTGGCATCTTGCCCATGAGGGGCAGTTATTTGGTACTGGTCTGTCTGACAAGTATTTATCAACCTCTGGTTATTTTCCCAGCTGCTCTTTCTTTGCCTATTTGACATGCAAGCTTCACAAAAGGCGTCAAGAACAGCATTGATGTTTCTTAACTTTGACCTCTCTGAGCATAGTGGCCTGATGTACCTGGGTGTTGGATCACTGCCCCCCTCTTCATTGTCTTCACTCTCCTGGATAGCCTTGTGTAGGTCTAATAAAGCCTTTGTTTTGGCTTTGTCATCCGGAGAAAGGTGTGCCTTGTCCAACACGTCTGTGCGATTCGTCAATTTCTGAACACCAAAAAAACATATTTAGTCACAGTGGCATGACTACTGTGATAAACATTTAATTAACATTTACTTTGTTCTTCAGCAACAGTTTAGTCTGGCAAAATAGTCACCCTGACTATTTTGAATCTTTAGATTTGGTTCTTGCTCTCTACTCTGAGCAATTTACACTACAATGAAACCTTGCATATAAATGGGAAGGACACTGTTAACATTAAAAATGTCAAAGGGGGGTAGGGTGTGGCACTCGTGCATTCTATAACAATCATAAATTATGTATGCATAAGACAAAGATGCAAAACATGTGTTGTTTCCTTAAAAAATGAAAGACCCTTGTGCCCTTAACCTGAAAGATCCAGGTACCCAGGATAAATGTGTTTGAACAAACTAAGACTTCCTTGTCACCCAAGAGCAACAGTAATGCAACAGGGGCCACCAGGCACTGCCAAAGCACATCTCTGTTACAGGACAGGCTAAATAAATCACTAAGTGGATGACTTAAACTACACATTAGAAATATTTTCACTGCAAGCATTAACAAAATAATGTACATGTATTTTACCTACCTTTCTAGCTCTCAAATTGGCATCTTGTCCAAACTCTGTGTTCTTCAGGTTTTCCATTTTGCCACCTTACCATGTCTGGGGGCTACTTCTCTGAATCCAGTACTTAAAAATGGCCCCTAGCAAAAGGAAAACATGTTAAATGTGCAGGTCTCTAGGAAAGGATAGAGAAAGAGTGCTTCTTGGTGTTGCTAAAAGAATTGTTGGTTTCCTCCTGCTTTTGGTGTGGGTATTATTTAGTGGCTTTTGAATCTTTTGTATTTATGTTATTAGGAGATTGCACTTGTCAGCAACACCAGTGGAAACCTGTTAATACGGTCATCAATGGGCCAAAAAAATTTTGCCATATTAATGGGGTGGCGGTATTAATGAGGGTTTTTTTACAAGAAAATGTATGGTGGTTTTTGCCAGGCTGCCAAAAAAGTGGCTCTAATAACGAGGTGACTGTATTACCAAGGTGGCCGTAATGCGGGGTTTCACTGTACCAAATTCAAGAAACTTAGAAGAGTGTACAACTTACCTTTTTTCTCTGTTTTACCCAAAATTCCCCCTCACTTCATTAACCAAAATACCCTCAATGTTTTAGTTCTCCGCATCAATATACCTCAAAGAAATAAAGACCAAACGAAAATGTCAAATATTTATATCAAAATACTAATACATGTATATGTATATTATTGTAACAGCCTGGTTCTAAAAAAACTAGAGAGCTTAAAATGAGGCAGTTTTCTGGTAGTGCATTACAAAGACAAATATTTAAAAAATGAAGGTTGCTTTTATCATCAAATAAAGCCCTTATCCAAGTGCTTGACGCACAATACAGAATTAAAGTGTAACAATATAAAAACACTATATACCCGTCTAGTTGATCTCCTTGTGGCATTTTCAAAAATTGAAAGTATCATTGACACAAGCACGATTTTGTCCACTCAAAGAAGGATAAATAGAATTGCTACTTCCCACTCAAAGATGGGCATCTTACTTGAGTCAATGAAGGTTGCTTTGTCATCGCATAAAGCTGTTACATATATCCTTGTGTTCGAAACTTAATGACAAATTGAAGTGTAAGGAAATTATATTCCGGAATAATATTCTTGTTTATCTCCTGGTGACTGTTGCAACATTTGAAATATCATTGACACAAGCACTACTTTGTCCACTCAAAGATGGATAAATAGAATTGCAACTTCCCACTCAAAGATGGGCGTCTTACTTGTGTCAATGAAGGTTGCTTTGTCATCAAATAAAGCCGTTACATATTTCCTTGTGTTCGAAGCTTAACGACAAATTGAAGTGTAAGGAAATTATATTCCTGAATAATATTCCTGTTTATCTCCTGGTGACTGTTGCAACATTTGAAATATCATTGACACAAGCACTACTTTGTCCACTCAAAGATGGATAAATAGAATTGCAACTTCCCACTCAAAGATGGGCGTCTTACTTGTGTCAATGAAGGTTGCTTTGTCATCAAATAAAGCCGTTACATATTTCCTTGTGTTCGAAGCTTAACGACAAATTGAAGTGTAAGGAAATTATATTCCTGAATAATATTCCTGTTTATCTCCTGGTGACTGTTGCAACATTTGAAATATCATTGACACAAGCACTACTTTGTCCACTCAAAGATGGATAAATAGAATTGCAACTTCCCACTCAAAGATGGGCATCTTACTTGAGTCAATGAAGATTGCTTTGTCATCAAATAAAGCCATTACATATTTCCTTGTGTTCGAAGCTTAACGACAAATTGAAGTGTAACGAAATTATATTCCTGAATAATATTCTTGTTTATCTCCTGGTGACTGTTGCAACATTTGAAATATCATTGACACAAGCACTACTTTGTCCACTCAAAGATGGAGAAATAGAATTGCAACTCCCCACTCAAAGATGGGCGTCTTACTTGTGTCAATGAAGGTTGCTTTGTCATCAAATAAAGCCGTTACATATTTCCTTGTGTTCAAAGCTTAACGACAAATTGAAGTGTAAGGAAACTATATTCCTGAATAATATTCCTGTTTATCTCCTGGTGACTGTTGCAACATTTGAAATATCATTGACACAAGCACTACTTTGTCCACTCAAAGATGGATAAATAGAATTGCAACTTCCCACTCAAAGATGGGCGTCTTACTTGAGTCAATGAAGGTTGCTTTGTCATCAAATAAAGCCCTTACATATTTCCTTGTGTTCGAAGCTTAACGACAAATTGAAGTATAAGGAAATTATATTCCTGAATAATATTCCTGTTTATCTCCTGGTGACTGTTGCAACATTTGAAATATCATTGACACAAGCACTACTTTGTCCACTCAAAGATGGATAAATAGAATTGCAACTCCTCACTCAAAGATGGGCGTCTTACTTGTGTCAATGAAGGTTGCTTTGTCATCAAATAAAGCCGTTACATATTTCCTTGTGTTCGAAGCTTAACGACAAATTGAAGTGTAAGGAAATTATATTCCGGAATAATATTCTTGTTTATCTTCTGGTGACTGTTGCAACATTTGAAATATCATTGACACAAGCACTACTTTGTCCACTCAAAGATGGATAAATAGAATTGCAACTTCCCACTCAAAGATGGGCGTCTTACTTGTGTCAATGAAGGTTGCTTTGTCATCAAATAAAGCCGTTACATATTCCTTGTGTTCGATGCTTAATGACAAATTGAAGTGTAAGGAAATTATATTCCTGAATAATATTCTTGTTTATCTCCTGGTGACTGTTGCAACAGTCATCAAATAAAGCTGTTATTCTTGTGTTCAAAGATTAATGACAAATTGGAGTGTAAGGAAATGATATCCCTCTATAATCTTGTGAGTTTTAGAACCTTTCTGCACCATCATATTAAACTTGTCATTGCGAACATACACAAAGAGAAAAGGTTCCTTTTAACCCTACAAGTCTCGTAACAAGTGCTACATTTATTTCAATTTTGAACAATTCCTATCGGTCCCTGCAAATTGTAAATGTCGTTTTAAATCTAGTAAGGAAATGCACATTGTATGCAAAAAATTAATATGAACATTAAATATTATTTTCGTACAGGTTTATCCTTGTGATAAACATCTACATTCTCAGACATTGGAGTGGAAATGTTTTGTACATTTCAGTGTCAAGGAATTTTTATAAAATATTTTTCTGTCATTGATATTTGATTCCGTACTCCGTTCCGGGATTCCGTTTCCTCATTCGAGATTCATATTTTACGGCTGCCATCTTCGCCATTAAAATGTGCATTAGTATACAGAAAAATTCTTTTTCGGTGAAGCAGCAACTTTGTCTTTATTGCAAAAGAAATCAGACAAACACGTGCTTTACGGGTAGATGTTATCAAAGAAACTACAGGCAACATACAAAGGTCAGATCTGTAGGGAGCAACTCGCTGTCGCATGAAACATGTAAGCTTATGTAAGCTCACATGCGAAACGATTTTTATGATCGACACCAAAAGCTATTACATAGACTTAAGTATGCTACTATATATTTAAACAAGATTCACAATGTACTTACGAAACAACAAGGATCCACGGTTTAAAATAGGCGTTCTTTCTTCTCAATGATTGTTGAAACACTCAGTGTGCATTCGAGTCGCCAAGAGGTCCAAGAGTGAACACTGAACTCCTTCGTCACCGCTTCCATGGGATTTGGCGTTTCATTTAAATAGTTTTTCGAACTATTATTCCTCCCTGCAGTCTATCTCCGCAATCTATCACACTCTCCTCGCTCATCTTCACAAAAAAAACGGCCCTGCATGTACGAACCACCAAAATGGAAGGCGAACCGCCAGCGAAGAATGTTCAAAAGGGCGCGCGATTCAAAATTCAACGTGAAAGCGAGGCACGCATGCTCATAATCCTCACGCCTCCAGAGCGAGGCAAAATGCGTGCAAGCGTGTTAAAAAATCATTTATAATTTATTTTGCTGTTTCTAAATTGTTTCAAATTAAGCTTCAATGTTTGGAGCGTTAATAATTTTAATAACACATCTTTGAATCTCTTAGAAAAGAAAGACAGAGGAAATCATCTATCACTTTTCCAGTATTTACGACGTGTAGTTTAGCGCAGGCGATTATCTCTGTTCTTTGGGACATTTTAGGTCCACGAAATGATTCCTCATCTTGCCTGAAGCGTAATCAGTACAGTTAAAACAAATTTTATTATATGAGAAACCAGGGATTGATCATGAAAACCAGCAAATTTCAGTACAAAACCGCTTGCGGAAACGCAATGGAAACGCGCTGACACGTTTAAGTCCACGGAAGCGCTGCGGAAACACGAAACAATGGCTCCATTTTCAGCTTACACGTTTCCCGTCGTATCCGTCCTGCGGAAACGTGACGGAATTTTGAACCATCAGGTTTCCGCAACATTTCCGAATTGCGGAAACACCTTATTTCACCCTGTTATCTGACTAATTTCGAATCCACTGTGAATGGAACAGCGTAGATGACTAATCCGTTAATCTGGATTCGGATTCTTCGGATTTCAAATCCAATGTGAATCCTTTTTCAAAAAGGATTCACCAGATCAAAAATCCGAATTTGGATTTGCCGAAAGGAACGTGAAATCCGTTTTAAGATCCAAATCCGTTTCTGGATTCACCGAAAGGAACACACCCTTAATTGTGAATGGCGATGTATAGGTGTTCTATACGCGAAAGGTTAACTGAGAAATCGCTCAACTGTAATGGTTTCTTTAAAACCCATCGCTATCCTCCTTTTCTAAAATTCCGACAAAGACAAAGAATTTTCGTTCAATTTTCGACAGCGACGTGAAGCATTAATAAACCCCGACACGAGACGTTTTAAAATTCAGACGAGCGACATGGGAGCCCCCCCTGGCAGGGCCTCATGAGATTTTGAGGAGTTAAAGGATTTCATCTCTACAAATCATTTTCTTTCACAGCCACTGAAAGCCCGGAAAGATTGCCACGACAGTTGCTCGTAAAACTTGATCCTACAAAAATTTGGCTCAGAAAAACATGCATATTCTCTTTCATTAAAATTTGACGTAAAGCTGCCCAGGCTTTTGACCTGGCCTCTCTCTTACCTCTTCCTGTTGCACTGAAACGTGCTCGAAGTTTCTACAGCGATATCTGAAATTGCAAACATTTTCTCTCACCTAGGATTTTGTTTTTCTGAATGCTCTAATAGACGTTGAAGGAAGTTTGTTCAAGAAAAGACCGTTTATTTCATTTATATTTTATTCAACAATACCCTGATCGCCGTTTGCCGTGAACGTGTTCCTTTTAATATTAATCCCTTCATGCATTTTAAAACACAACAGTGGACATCTCCGTCCTGTCTCTGTTTTAATTTTGGCATATTTTCAGTCTAGTGTAGTTATAAGATTGTTTGTTGGCTTTCTTAACAAATGGATTGTTTTAAATTTGAATTGTTTTTCACGAGAAAGGAGCCCCGTGCTCTGATGACCTCCGATGGTTCTGTTTGATATACGTGACATCCTCACTACACATGAATAAGCTAAAAGAACAAACGAGTGGGTAAATGAATGAATGAACGGACGGACGGACGGACAAACAGACAGACGGATGGACGGACGAACGAAGGAGCGAAGGGACGAAAGAACGAACGACGGAACGAACTAACAAAAGGACTGACGGGTTTGGACGGATGAACAGGTCGACGGACGAACGAAGTAAGGTACGGGCGGATGAATGAATGAATGAATGAATATAATTGTTTT